TCCTTGAGGACAGATTGTATTACTTTTGTATCCATACCCCAGAACTTAGCACAGTGCTTGGCTTATAGTAATTGCTTAATAAAGGCATTTTCATTCTTTCATTCATTTATCCTTTATTTTAATGTGTTGTACATTTTGACCTTTGCTCTAATTAACTGAGGATATGAATGGAAAGTCTTCTAAAAACAATGATGCCATTAATTGGTCACTTCCTCTCTGTAAGCTTTGATAAAAGTGCTGGATGTGCCCACTGCCTTTTGACTCCATAGATATGGTGTGGTATGTTTAAAAAAAATTTTTTTTTTGGCTATACTCCCTGTGTCTGTTTTCACCTAGAAACTATCAAGTGTTAAGGTGCATATTGACCTAGTTGGGTGGATCTTAGTTCTTGGAGGATCCTGATCCAACATATTTTTCACCATTAGTTCATAATAGAAAGAGAAATTTTGGAAATACAATGATTTTTGGTCTTTTTGCTTAAGTTCATCATGACCATAGTAAAATGAAAGAAGTTAAGAAATGTTATTTATTATTGCCTTTGTAAAACCAATTGCTAGCTCCTTAAAAAACAAAACAAAACAAAACACTTATGCTGAGTGAAGTGGGCAGAACCAGGAGAACGTTGTACACAGTAACAGCAACATTCTATGATGACTGACTTTATGTTAGACTTAGTTCTTCTCAGCAATGCAATCATTTAAGACAATTCCAAAAGACTTATAATGGAAAATGCTATCCACATCCAGAGAAAGAATTATGGAGTCTGAATGAAGATCAAAGGATACTATTTTCTTTTTCTGTTTGTTTTTTTGTTTTTCTTTCTCATGGTTTTTCCCTTTTGTTCTAATTCTTCTCTTACAACATGACTAATGTGGAAATATGTTTGATATGATTATACATGTATAGCCTATATCAGATTGCATGTCATCTTGGGGAGGAGAGAGGGGAGAAAAATTTAAACTCAAAATCTTATAAAAGTGAATGTTGAAAACTAAAAATAAAGTTAAATTAAAAAAACTTATATTTTTATCTTATCTTTTTAAACTTCCACTTAGCCAGAACTTACTTATGCCGTCAAGTTTCATGTATAATGGGAATGGCAATAAGAATATAAAAATTCAGATCTTCTAGTGCTACATAATCTTCTTGGTCTCTGGATAAAGATATGACATTTAGAGGATGAAAAGTTGAATTGCTATTTGTGACCACTTAAAAAACTTATTCTTAGAGAACCCTCTGCCCCCTTTCTTTCCTGAGCACATTAGAGTGATGTGCAAGACTAAAGATCATTCTATATTTTTATTAGTTTCATTTGTTGTTCCTGGCAAAGACTTCAGCACCCAGTGGAAGCCTGTAGGTGATAAGCTTCTCTTTACTTAGTTCAAGAAAGCTGACACAGTTCCATCCATCACCAGAACCTGCTCTCAAGGAACTTTACATTCTATCAGGAGAGACAACACCTACATATATTAAGTCTATGAAGAACAAATACATGGTAGTTTAGGGAGAGAGGACACTAGCCACTGGGGAGATTAGGAAAGGTTTTTGTTAGAAGGTAGAACTTGAACTGAGCCTTGACAGAAAGGATTCTATGAGGTAGGTGTGAGGAGGAACAGCATTCCAGGCATAAGGGATAATCAATGCAAACCCACAGAGAAGGAAGGTAGAGGGCTGTGTAGGTGAGGATAACAAGAAGCTTAGTTTGACTAGGTCAGAGGTTACTGGAAGAGGAGGAAACGCTGGAAAGGTAAATTGGGGCCAGGTTGTGAAGGACTTTAAATGACAAACAAATGAGTGTCAACACCATTAACCAAAGAACACAGTTTTCCCATTTTTGTAATGATTTTTTTTTTGTTATCCCATCCAGGACTTCATTTTTATAAAAGTCATAGAATCTCAGTTGGGGAAACAGAGGCTCAGGGAGGATAAAGACTTGCCCAAAGTAACACTGTTGGTTAGTGGATGAATAATAATAAATAACAAGATAAACAATAATAATAACAGCTAGCATTTACAAAGCACTTTAAGGTTTGCAAAGTATTTATGCTACTTCTTTTGTTCCTCACAATTATGCTGGTGAAGTAGTTGCTATTATTCACCTCTTTTTACAGATGAGGAAATTGAAGCTAAGAGAGAGTAAGTGAATTGTCCAGAATATGACATAGCTAGTTAAGCATCCGAGGTAGGATTTGAACTTGTCTTCCTTTCTCGAAGTCCCACATTATATACACTGTACCATTTAGCTGTCTCATTAGCAGAACCAAGTGTTTTAACTTATTTTATGGTTCTGCTTAGGTCCTACAGGTAAAATATCTACCTTACTAAAATATTAAATCCTATATTACACAATAAAGGATATTTGCCTGAGTAGACTGCAGACTTACTGTAGATTTACACAGAAGCTCAAACAAAATAATATCTATATTATCTGTTGCCAAAACACCCACTAGACCATGCAATTTCAAAGTCAGATTTATCAGAGTAAACTGGTTTTTAAAAATCCAGAAGCAACACTAATTTAATCATATTCAGCCTCACAGTGACCTCAGAATCTTGATCAGTATTCTGAATAACTTGGCAGTGTCCCATTTCAACTACACCCAGGTTACAGGAATCATTTCTTTCCCATATCGCTACAGAAACCTCAAGTACTAGGGTAGTTCCTAAAGGCAGCCCAAAATAGCATTTTGGTTGACTTACTACATCAAGAATAAAAGCAATCAAGATGATTAATGTGGTTGCCCTGGCCAAACAACCCAAAACACAACAATTTTTAAAAGCTTATGAATTTTTAAAGAGATGTTAGACATCCTAGTTTAATAATAAATTAAAAAATAGGGAAAGTAGGCAAAGCAAAATTGGGGTTAGAACATAAAGGACCATTAGCCAAGAGCACTGTGGCATTGCTAAGAATGATAAGGCCTATAAAAAAGAAAATATAACCAGAACATGTTTGTTACTTTGCATCTGTATGGTATTTCTGCTTGCAGTGTTTTCTGGCCACCATAGAGAGAGATACAGGTATATTTAAGAAAGAGGTTGAAAAATGTTTGTTCTCTTACTTTTAAGCTAACTCTTTCAGTCACACTCCAGATTCATACTAATGGGAGTCAAAACAGAAATTCATCTACCAAAAAATGTTACCAACACCCATTGGCAGAGAGTGTATTTCATGGAGAGAATTTGGCAACCCCTAAAATAACCTAAGGAGTCCAAGAAGAAATGAGGGCAGCATGAGGTCATGAAGAAAGACAGCTGAGAAACTGACGTGTCAACATCAAAAAGAGTCTGATCATTCATTTCATGAGCGAAGAATGGTCAATGGAAACTGGTTATGTGTAAGGATCTGTGAGAAACACTTCTATGCATTTCTAACTGTAAAGGGATATGCCTTCTCTTATCATTGGTAAAAGCTGTTATAACTCTTGCATATTTAAGAAATTTGGAGATTGTAAAATTGTAATTATAGGATCCTGGAAAATCCTTAATCTCATCTAAAGGGATGGCTCTATTCTGGCCCCGATTATGCTATAATTCTATTCTGCTGTTGCTTGGGCCTACAGGGTTCCTACACGGCTCCTTGGATAAGGAAGCTATTGGCTCATCCAGTCACAATGATGCTTTTCCTGAAGGTTTCTCTAGCACTAGACTCCTGACGTGTTTGTCTTGGCCCATTTCTTTCTGGTCTGTTCTCTTTGCCTAAAGAATATACATTTGCTGGTTGTATTGATGGGTTCTATCCTTTGGTGAACTTCAGCTTCTTCCACCTATAGCAGGCAGTTCTTAACCTTTTTTTGTATCATGAACCCCTTTGGCAGTTTGGTGAAATGTAGGGATCTCTTCTTATAATGTTTTAAAAGCACAAAATAAAATAAAAAATATATACGATTACAAAGGAAACCAATTATATTGAAATAGTTATCAAAATACAAGTAATGGACCCCAAGTTAAGATCACCTGACCTATGTGTTTAAGCTAACAAATAGTAATAATAATAGTAGTAACAATAATAATAGGTAGGATTTATATAGGTCTTTAAGGATTAGAAAGCATTTTCCAAATATTAGTTCAGCTAATCCTCACAATGACCCTAGAGGGTAGGTGCTATTATCATCCCCACTTTGCAGAAAAAAAAACTTATGCAAGCAGAGTTTTAAGTGACTTGCCCAGAGTCACACAGTTGTTGAGGCTAGTTTTGAATTCAAGTCTTTTCTGACCACGGGTCCATAGCTCTATCCACCATGTCACCTAACTGCTAGAATCTTAATAGCGGCCACGTGGCCAGTACCATCTTTCTACTGAGCACTTCTGCATTGAATTGTTTCCCTCTGAAGGCCAGACTCCTTACTACTACTACCTGTTTTAAAGTTCACATTCCGTTCTGGATCACCCTGTTCCATGCCTGAGGAGGGCCAACAAGTCTCAGCTCATTTATAGAACAGTTTTAATTACTATCACAGCTTGGCTATCAGTTGTTTCCATAACCCCAAGTTCTTTTTAAAGATTACTTTTCAGTCAAGTAATGTCTCTCCCCACCTCCTCACCCCCCAAATCCCTGGGGAATGGTTTTCTAGAATAATGTTATTAATTTTAAATTTAAAAATAAAGCCACCATTTAACATACATATTGAATAAGTCATTATCTCTACTAGGTGGAAGAAGGGGAAAAAGGAAGTGGTTCCCCCACACATACCCTTCTGAACACAGTAGGGAGAAAAATTTCTCTCAGCCTTATTCTTACAATCATTCCTTGACCTATAACTTTGTAGACAGAAAAGAAGAATGGAATAATAGCTTCTAGTAAAGAAACACATAAAGGCACTCCCTTAGATAGAACACAACTGCTGGCTCCATTTGGGGCCAAGCTTTTCTTGGGAAGACATGCCTGCAGCAGCAAAACAAATAACAGAGGCCGTAACTATGCCTCTGCCTACATTTGTCCCACAAGCATTCTCCCTCATTATTGTAACTATTCCCATCCCCCCTTGTAATACCCTTACCTATGGGAAGGGAACTTCTTCCTTAGTTCAGAAATAATTAAATCTTCCACAAGATGATCTGTTTCTGTCACAAGATCTGCAGCTGATGTTTTTGTGGACACACGTTTTTCCTCGGTAAGGGCTTTTTTAATAATCTAAAACAAAATGTAGGTGACAAATTAAACTCATTCTCATCATCTAGTCAAATATATTCCTCCCCTTATTGAATATCATCTTTGGAATCAAGATGGGGGAGTGTACCAGTAAGCTCTACATAATGTATATGTTGTAAGTGTGTATGTGTGTGTGTGTGTGTGTGTATGGAATCAATTTACCAATATACATATAGGAATTATATGAACACAACTATACATATAGGAATTATATGAACACAACTAAAAACACACTTTACAGAAATAAAGACACAAATAATTGGAGAGGCATTAATGGCTCATATTTGAGCCATGCTAAAATAATTAAAATGATATTAACCAAATTAACTTACACAGTTAGTGTGCCACACCAAATTACTACTTAGATATTTTATAGAACTAGAAATCCAATAACAGAAATTCATTTGGAGGAACAAAAGGTTAAGAATGTCAAGGGAAATAATGAAAAAACAATCAGGAAGGAAGAGAATCTAGCAGTACCAGATCTCAAACTATACTACAAAGCAATAATCATGAACATAGGCAAGCTGTTCTGTGGATTAAGTATAAAAGACCCAGAAGCAATCAAACATAGTCACATTGTGTTCCAGAAACCCAAGGACTTTGGCAAAAACTGTTGAGAAACTGGAAAAGTAGCCTGGAAGAAATTAGATTTAGACCAATATCTCACACAGCATAATGCAATAAGCTCTAAAGTCCTAGATATAAAAAGTCATACCATAAACAAATTAGAGAGATAGGAGGGAGATACCTTTCACAGCTATGGATAGTAGATGAATTATTGACCAAATAAGAGATAGAAAAGATCACAAGATAAACTGGACAGATTACATTGCACAGACCAAATCAATACAGTTAGAATTAAAACGGAAAGAGTTAACTGAGGAAAATCTTTGTAGCAAATTTCTCTAACAAAGTTCTGATCCAAGATGTACGTGTGTAGATGTAATCAATGCAAGTATATCAGAACAAAAGCAATTTCCCAATAGATAAATGGTTATAGGATATGAAGAGGCAGTTCTCAAAAGAAGAAAGATAAGCTAACAATAATAACTACAGCGAAACTACATATTGTGCTTCAAGGCTTACAAAATGCTGACTATAGATTATCTCTTTTTGTCTTCACAACAAATCTTTGAAGTATGCACTATTATTATACTCATCTCAGAGATAAGGGAACTACTGCTGAAAGAGGTTCAGTGACTTTCCTAAGAGTCAAACATAAGTTGCTGAGGCAAGATTCAAATTCATCTTCTTGACTCCAAATCTAGCACTATATCCACTATTTAACCCAGATGGCTCTGGAGGAGAGACTGAGGCTGGTGACTTTGCCCAGCCCTGCCTCACTTAAATCCAATTCACTTGCAAGTCATGACATCACCTTCCAGATGTCACGGTCCTCTTTGAGAACGAAGGACAAACAACCAACAATGGACAATCTGTGAGGAGCAGTTAGGCAACACAGGTTCTTCTTTCTTTCTTTTTTTCCTTCCTTCCTTCCTTTCTTCCTCCCTCCCTCCCTTCCTTCTTCTCTTCCTTTTTCTCCCTCTGTCCACATAGGGAATTATAAACTTACCTGTGGGTGCTCTACCCAAAGAAATATAAAATTTTGATTGCTGAAACCTTGGGGTTTAAGGGCTAGATTTCTTTTTTAAAGGTCAGGCCTAAACCTAAATCATTCTGGCTCTCATTGATTGGCCAACAATGGGGCCCAGCCCAAGCCTCATTTGGTCATTATTTGAGCTCTGATGGCTCCGAGTGAGTGTATATAGTAATTGTTTCTGTTTTGGTCAGAAACCCCCAGAGTCCTACCCTTCCAGATTGATTTTTTTTTCTTTATGACTAGGTAAAAGAGGCCATTCTCTGCCCCATTCCTTTCTAGCCTTAATCACTGAATGGGCATTGCCTCAGACAAACTGAGACCTGGGAAAGACCTTTACTTCAAAAGGCCAAAGTCTCCCACTGCATCCAGGGCCATCTCCAGTCGTCCTGATCTTGCCACTGGACCCAGATGGCTTCAGAGGAGGGAGTGAGGCTGGTGACTTTGCACAGCCCTGCCTCACTTGAATCCAATTCACTTGCAAGTCAGGACATCACCTTCCTGAAGTCAAAGTGATGTCTCTTCCAGAATGAAGGATAAACAACAACAACAACAACAACAACAATTATCAACACATAAAAGCTATCAACAACCATTTGAGGAAAAGCCTCCGAATATGTACTTATGATAAGAGAAATGCAAATTGTAAAAACTCTGAAGTTCTACCTCACACCCATCAGATTGATAAAAATGACAAAAAAGAATCATGACAATTGCTGGAAAGCATTTGGGAAGAACAGCATACTAATGCACTTTTGGGGGAGCTGTAAAATAGTACAACCATTCTGGAAAGAAATTTAGAACTATACTATACCCTGCCCCAAAGTCATTAAACCATGAGTTACTAAACCTTTTAGCCCAGTGAGGCCACTTATAGGTGTGTATATCCCAAAGAAATCAGAGAAAAAGTAAAAGACCTATATTTTTTTTTCAAAAACAACAACAAAAAAAATAATTTCATAGCAACAGTTTTTCTTGCAGCAAAGAACTGGGGGCAAAGTGTACACCTATAAATGAGAATGAGTTAACAAATTATGGTATATGAATGAAATGAAATATTATTGTGCCATAAGACATGATGAAAAGGACAGATTCAGAGAAACCTGGGAGGACTTGTATGAACTGATGCAGAGTAAAGTGAGCATAACCAGAAGAACAATTTATACAATGACAACAGCTTCTAAAGAAAAACAACTGTGAAAAACTTAAGAACTCTGTTTAGTGTAATGACCAATTACACTGTCTCTAGAAGACTGATGGATGGATCATGCTTCCCACTTCTTGGCAGAGTGCTAATAGTTTAGAGGTAGAGAATGAGGTATACACTTTCAACATGACCAATGTATGGATTTGTTTTTTGTTGATTACATCTATTTGTATAAGGAAGAATTTTTATTTGAGAGGAATAGGGGAGGCAGATATTTGAGTAGGTGGAGAGCAGTAGTGATAGTGATTCTGGGAAGAGAGGGGAAGAGAAAAAGAGAAGGGGGAAGGGAGGGGAGGGGAGGAGATGGAGGAAAGAAAGAGAGAGGGAGAGGGTGAGGGAGTGGACTAGGGAAAGACAGAGGGAGAGGGAGGGAGAAAAGAAGGAGAAGGAGAGGAAGGAGAAGACAGAGGAGGAGGAAGGGGAAGGGAAGGGTGGGGAGGGGAAGAAGAGGGGAAAAAATAAAGAAAAAACCTCAATGAAGCATAAAAACACACACAGAAGAGAACAGAAAGAAACTCATAAGGGGACATAGTGAAGCAGGGTAGTATTGAAACATGCAAAATTTCAAAACCACACTTTAAATAATATGCTAATTAAAAGCCATGTATAATAGAAATTCATGGTATAATATACAATCACATTTTTTTCTATTCTTTGTATAAAAAAAAGTCAGGATTTGTTGACCATATCATAATAAAACATTTTTAGAAATAAGAAAACTCTATTCTAATACAGGCAGATAAACCTTTATGCACAAAATCTATTATTATAACACAAGACAAGTCAGCTAGGTGGTGCAGTGGATAGACTTCCTGACCGGGAGTCAGGAAGACCTGAATTCAAATTCAGCCTCAGATATATACTACCTGAGTGGCCTTGTGCAAGTCACTTCACCTTTGTTTGCCTCAGTTTCCTCAAGTGTAAAATGGGGATAATCACAACACCTACCTTCTAAGGATATTGTGAGGTGCAAATGAGATATTTGTAAAGCACTCAGCACAGTACCTGACACATAATAGGTGCTATATAAGTGCTCATTCCCTTCCCATCTTTTCCCTCCTCCCATGTTAGCCAGAAGTATACAACTGAAAAGATGTTCTTTCACTTGTCTCTGAAATGGACTTGCTTTTAGAAAAAAAATTTTTTTTTAATGTTTTCTAGTGGGTGTGTTATATCTGTGTAGAATTATACATTTAAATCCCTATTATCTTCTAGGTCTGACATCAGTGTTGCTACATAATGCTGTAAGCTTGGGTTTATGCTTTTTATTTTTTTGATAAATATAAGTATTTATATGTTTATGTGTTGTAATTTACTTGCTTTATTATAGGAATAAAAAGAAGTGGATATGCCTTGGGCTATAAATTAAAGTGCTGAAGTCCAGAATATTGATAATGAACTAAATTTGTTGTGAACATGTCTTGGCTGCCATCAATTTAAGGTTCAGAAAGTCATTAGCAAATCAAATAGAGATGCAAATGAACTGGCTTTAACAGAAATCTGTTTCTTTCTATTCTTTTCTTGAACTTAGATTTACAATTTCCATATATATGTTCAAGCCCTCTCCAATAGCATGACTTACATCACTGCGCCTAAGGCAATCAATCTAGGGATGTGTTTTGATATTTTCCCATAACTAACAATAATAATAATGCCTAGCATTTATATAACTCTTTAAAGTTTGCAAAATGCTTTACATATATTATTTATTTTGATCCTCATAGGGTACATGCTTTTTTTATCCATATTTTACAATGAGGAAATTGAATCTGAGAGAGGTTACATTCAGGGTCACACAGCTAGTGTCCAAGGAAGTATTTGCGCTTAGATCTTCCTAACTCTGGGTAGCTAGGGGGCACAGGGGATAGAGTGCTGGATCATTTTCCTGAGTTCAGATCTGGCCTCAGACACTTACTAGCTGCATGACCCTGGGCAAGTTACTTAACCCTGCTGGCCTGTTACCTCATCTGTAAAAATGAGATGGAAAAGGAAATGGCAAACCATTCCAATATCTCTGCCAAGAAAACCCCAAATGGGGTTACAAAGAGTTGGACATGACTAAACAATAACAACTTCTTAACTCCATGTCTGGCCCTCTATCTATTATGCTACCTTGCTGCCAAATTGATGAAAATGCACACTCTCATTAAAAAGCTCCCACTCTAGTTTATAAAT